TTTTTTTCACTTTTATATTTTTTCGATCTATCTCTGATATTTCCTCATTCTTCATCCCATAAATATAATAGCACAAATTTAAAAATATATTTCTTCATATATATATATATATATATATATATATATATATATATATATATATATATACATCTATTATGAAAATGGACAAATTTCCGACAATTATTTAAGACATTTTTATGTTTATACGTTCTTTTTATAGATGAAAATATTTAAGTAAATGCTCTGTTTATAATAAACAAACTTCATTGAACAACAAAATAGGCCTGAATGTCTGAGAAATTTTCATAGAAAATATTCGGCCTCCGACAAATTTCATTTAACCTTATCCTATTTAGAACCGTCATATATCAGCACGTGCATCTTAACGATTTTACATAGGATATTCGATTAGCAAAAAAAAAAACCTGCTAAAATCAACCTTTTATAACTGAATGCTCCTCTGTGGTAAAATTGGTTATAGATACGTCCATTATATATTTTATAATAAAAAAATGGTCCATGGGCTGTGTTTCTAAATGTTGAGTCACTGGTTTGAGTCTTGTTCATTACCAGAATCAAAAATGGATTCACTCTACTGACCATGAACAATTTTTGCCACCATTTAAATGAACAGTCACCCTCTTGGCTGGGGCTTATTTAATATAATATTTCTATACTCTGCTGATATAAACCTCCTCCAAATGATATGTCCTGGGTAAGATGATAAACTACATATAACATTATGCAAGGCCTCTGGTCAGGAGGTTTTTTTGGATCATGGAACCACCACTTTAATTGCTGGTGTTCCCAGGTTCACCTTATTACCTGGGGTGGTAGCACCTGTTAGGGGTCCCAAATATGGGCAAATAGTTAACCCCAAACTGGAGTCAAAATTTCTATGAAAGTGCAAAAATTTTAAATAATACCAACAATACATTTTGTAAAAAAAAATATTACCAACAATAAAAATCTTGTCGGCATTAAATAACTCATAGAGATTGATATGTCATAAAACTAAACAAACCAAACCAACTGAACAGAGAAATGGCTGGAATTTCAAACTGAACCCTTTATTTCGCTTGCTGGAGTAAACTGTTCTAGTTCCACGTGCCATGTCTAATGGATGTCAGTTATCAGTTACCTCCTGTTAATTCACCTCTCCAAAGTTCTCCACTGCCTTAACCAGGTATTGAACTCCCAACTCTTTTGGGTCCTGTCACTGGTTCTAACCAACGCTTTTATCCACTGTACAATATGAGCACTGGTAAAAAAATGGTTACTGAAGGCATTAAGTTTATAAGTCCCAGAAATTCATACCCAGATGTCCTTAAGGATACATGGCAAGGTGGATAAAGACGTTGGTTAGATCCAGTGCCAGGACCCAAAGAGTTTGGAGTTCAATACCTGGTTAAGGCAGTGGAGAACTTGGAGAGGTGAATTAACAGGAGATAAATGATATCCATTAGATGTGGAACTAGAACAGAGAAGTAGCTATTGATCAGTCAATCCTATCCAGATCTTTTGGATATCATATGTTTTCAGGACATAGATGATCATGGCTGTCCACAATTTTCTTTTTCCTTTAATATCTATAAATTACTATAACTCCTTCAAAAAGATATAGTAGTGATATCTCATTGCTTTCTCCATGATTTTGAATGTTTTGAGTTGGCCATCTCCTCAACTGGCTGCCACCCAAGGCTACAGAGCCTGGTCTACCCTGCTATTTAACAGAAGGAAAAGAGAGACTCATGCATTTCCCAAGTGAATGCAAAAGACCAGGCCAGATTTGAACTCTAAGACTAAAGTTTTCCACTGATATGAAGTGGAAAGAATATATAAAATCAATTGATAAGTCTACAGCTAGTAAAATTGGTTTACTGTGTCAAGGTAGACAATTTTTCTTGTCAGAATCTATCTTACATATTTATAAGCCTGCCATTTGTTTTTGCTTTGAATATTTCTACTACATCTGGTCTGGTGCATCTGCTATATATTTAGAGATTCTTGATAAAATCCAAAGAATCTGCAGTGTTACTAGTCCTGACCTGGCATCTCACCTTAAGTCACTTTCCCACTGCCATAATGTAGTTTCTGTTTGCCTTTTCTATAAATATTTTCATGGTAATTCTTTCAATGAACTTTTCATTATGATATCTAGACTTTATGAATTTAAGCATAGCATGAGATTGACAGATTGATGTTTCATTTTACAATTGAAATGACTAGATGTAACCATAAGTTCTATGCTAACTATCTTCTTTCACACTTCTTGTTTGTGGAACTCAATTTCAACCTCTTGCTTCTTAGTCAACTTTGATCTTCAAAAATTGAAATGCAATGTCAATTGTTATCTACTGTCATCTTAATTCTTATTCTTTCATTGTCTTCTCTCCTTAACAGTATATTTTTTTCATATTCTTTAACACTCAGTAACTCCTTGCATCTTAGTGGCTTTATAGCCTTACTTAGGATGAAATGATTAAAAAAACTTGTAGCACAAATGCAACCTGAACATCTTTTATTAATCCAATAAATATTTTCAAAACACCCATAAAAAAATAAGTGTTTATGTAGCATGTCTCTTACTTCAAATGATGGACAAATAGACTACATTTAGTGTCTTTTAGAGAAGCCAGATGCAGTGATGACATGAGAGTTGTTTTATGACATATCAACCTCAGTGGGTCATTTAATGTCAACAAAATTTTTTAAATAGATTCATAATGATAGTTTGGAAAAAAAGGTTTGTGTGTATACATATATATTTGAACCATTTTTCAATTACTTATATTTTTGAGTACAACTCAACTTCTTTTAGGAAATTTACAATCTTGGATGGTTTTATTTTCATAAAAAGTTTTTTTTTTTAAATTACTCACTTGGTAATATTTTGTTAGCACTAGATCAAAATCTACAAACTCTAACAGTATATGTTTCACTTTAAATTTTAATTATTGCTGATAATAATTTTTCCTTCAAAAATTATTGCTGGTAATAATTTTTTTATTACAAAGTATTTCTGGTATTAAAACCTATTTTTACACAAGTTTGGGTGTTAACTATTTGCCCATAGCTGGGACCCTAACAGGTGCTACCACCCAGGGTCAGGGGGGATCTGGGAACACCAGCAATTAAGAGGTGGTTCCACACTCCTCAAAACCTCCTGATCAGAGGCCTTGCTGTTGGATGTAGTTTATCGTATTACCCAGGACGGGGATGTAGTTTATTGTCATACCCAGGATGGTCCTAGCTGATGGATATGTTGAGATCTGTGATTCACCCGATATCAACTGTTGCTCAGACTTGACCTAACTTGAGCTTGGAGATATGCATATGGGAAAACCCATGTGACACACAGATATATAAACACCCATCCCAGAGTTGAACTGGTCTCTCTTTTACATCCCTAATGAGAATGTAAGGTTCACATTCAGAAAAAGTTTCAAGGCCACATAATAATCCACTGGCCAATGGCAACAGACAAAGTCAGGATTTGAATATAACGAGATATTAAGGTTCGGGTTTTCATTGAACTGGACAAGGATAAAATTACCTTTGCATTCTTGTTTAGTGAATTCTAAATTGCACTGAAGGTTTCAAAAGTTACGCTTAAAAAGACAAATTGCTCTCGGCTAACCATGAGTTGATGAAGTGTTTAACTTTATTCATATTATTGATATTCAGAAAACTATTCTCATTGTTAGTTCCAATCAAATAGTGAAATGACTGCAAAAACATCCCCCTCCCCAAATTTATAGACAAAACATACAGATGCATGCTGGGATTTCTTCCTATCTAATACGATGGTCATATTGTTGGTCATATCAGACTTAATTCTCTTCTTTGTTGTCTTGTGACCAGAACACTGCAATTGCTTGTCTGTATCGCCTTTTGTGCATTAACACTATTCCTAGTTTGTGAATGTTTTGCCTTATAACTGTTGTTTCGCCTTATTACTGTTTCTTTGATTTATTGCTCTTGCTTTGTTTTGCATATATTGTTTGCTCGATATTATGTTTGCCCTCTTCTTTTCTTTCTCTTATGATTGCTTATTGTAAACTTTGTCAGTTCTGATTGGTTGGCATTTTTACCAATTCCATTTCACCATAAGCCAATTAGTCTACAAAAAGAATTATTCTTGCTTTGCCTACTTTTGTCTTGCATATATTGTTTGTTCAATATTATTTTTGCTTTCTTTTCTTTCTCTTATGATTGCTTATTGCAAACTTTGTAAATTCTGTTTGTTGGTCAATTCTGCCAATTCCATTTCACCATAGGCCAATTACTCTAGAGTTATCAAAATGTTTTGTCTGTCATATTCTCAAACCTTCTTCACATTTTCAACTAAACCCTTTATTTAATCTACATGTGTGGATAGTTCTAATTCCCTTCATCATGTCTAGGGCTATTTCATTTTGTTCTTATTTAGTACTGCTCAGTTATTGCACATCATGTTTTCACTGATTCACCAAATTCCTGAACTAATCCTTTAACCCACTAGGCTGTTATCTCTTGGGATAAGCCTAAATCCAGAACATGAAACCTTAAACTACTCTGCCACCTCTTTTCTTACTGCTGCTGCTGGAGCTTTACTGTCCTTTCTATTTATTTATTAATGGCTCCCATATTGTATTTATTTCTATGCTAGGCCTACTGAGGAGATCCTCATAGTATAGGTGCTGATTTCTTCAGACATTCTGACCCTCAAGTGTTTTTCTCTATCTAATATTTTTTTTAATTCCACAGGAATTGGTGACTATCATTTTAATCTCTGTTTAATGGAGATTACCTTCAAACAACATGACATATATAGTTTGACCTAAAACTTCCTCAACATAGACAACTTTTTTTTATTCTTATTTACACTAACAGTTTTTTTGCTTCATGAGAATATTTTTTTAATTGCAGACAATACGGACCTAAAGTTTGGGAATCTGTTTACTAACAAAACTGAGTTGGAGGGTTTCCTGTCAACAACATTAAAAATTGATAAGAATATGTCAGTTGAACTTCTAAACCAGATGATTGATGTAGAAAAGGTTTGTAACACTATTTAATACTTGAAAATTATCCTTGTATATAGAACACAATGTTTATCCAAGTACCTATTTTTTTGTGTGTAAGAGATTTCTACATCATCAGAAAAGTCCACTACACAGAGATGGGCAAAATGCTCAGTTCAATGTAGTGAACTTGTCAGACACTATTGCGGAAATAGAATACACAATAATAATGGGGATGACCCATGACAGTTTAAGTTTTCCAATGTTTTGAATTTTTTGATCAGTGATAATTCTTAATTTAAGTGTAGAATGATCAGTAAACATGGACCTTTGTGCCCACAAAACAGTGTGTCAAAGGACAGTTTTTCCCTTGACTCTGCTATTATTTTAACTACCTTCACTCCTTGATGATATTTATTGTTTTCAAAAGCAATTATTAGAATTATAATAAAACCTAAACATATGAAAGTAAATTTATATATTTTCTTTGTTCTTGAGAATTGACAACAAAAATAATAAACATAATTTATTAGATTGTTTATTTACAAGAAAAATTTTATATTTACAACATTCTAAAAATTAATAAAATTAAAACTAATGCAATGCAATATTTATCATTTACCAATTTATAAAGAAATAAATATGAAAATAATTTTTTATTCATAAATTTATAAACATTTACTAAATTATTAGAATATGTTAACCAACTTCAAGCCCCTACAAATGCAGCTACTTGTGGTTAAATTCAAATAAAAAAAAATTCTATTTTGTGAAATGTCTGTCCTTGTGAATTGTTTATTGCCATTGCATTGACTTATCAGCTAACTTCATGTAGATAAAACATTAATCTAATACTACTTATTACAATTGTAGTTTAAATTTCTTTGTTAAATAATTTTAGCAAACAATTGCTTTTATTATTTATAGTGTGTTATTTTTGGAGTTCAATTGTGTTGTTAGGATTAGCCTTGTATAAAGGATATATGAATGTGTAAATAAAACCTGATAAACTACATCTTAAGAATAATCAAGCCTGGATTATAACAATAATAATTTATATAAACATTAATAAGTAGTTTTGTATTGTACAAAAACAGTAGTAATATTCATAAATGGCACAAGGTTTGTATTTAAGTAAGATTAAATAAAATGTTTTTTGTTACATTTCAATGAATACAAGAGTTTGTAAAAATACTTAAGTGTTTTTGAGAAATACCAGTTTCATTTGGTAATATGTCCTGTGAATAAGAAAAAGGACGTAGAATGTATGTGAGAAGTAAAAGGGAGGAAGTGAAAATGACGAGAAAAGTTTGAGGAGTGGTAGTGGTTGTCGAAGCCGAGATGCCTTTGATGTATCCACTCACAGTTGTAAGGGCCCATCTCTCTGTGTGTCTTATTTGTGTGTTTCCTTTTGGAATCTCTTTATTTACCAACCTCCTCACAAGGCAAGATGTGGCACAAGGCCAGTTTTTAACGTAGGGTTTCCCGAGCACATAGGCTTGGGCAAAAATTGCGTGTAGACCCCATATACACAGGTTCAGGTTTGTCTACCTCCCCAAATGAGACTGCTCTTCGGCATAGCCTCATCTGGTTTCACCTTTGCTCAGAGGCAGAGAGTTTAACAAGAGAGGAAGAGAAACCTTTCTTCTTTTCCATTTTTCTTTTTAGACAGGGATTATTGTTAGCGAAGTTGAAAGAGGCTCCGATTAAGTTGTTGATTATTTCAGGTGCACTCATTTCTTATTGGTCAACATATTTATTTAGGATTTGTATTTAATCAACTTAAGCTGGAAATTATACATGGAGCCTACTGCGCAAAGCCCAAAATATGTCATTATATTTTAAGCTATGAAAGAGGTAACTTGCTCTCACTGCATATTCTATAATCTATTGTTTTCATTTGTACCCTTACAATATTTCATTATTGAAAGAATGAAACTTGAATAATTATTAAAATACATTAGCTACATAGCAAGAATTCTGAAATAAATCAAATAATACTGTAACTGAAATGAAACCCAGTTCTAAACAAGTCAAAGTCATAATAAATAATAAACATTGGTGAGGAGTGAAGGTAGTTAAAAATAATAATGGTGTCAAAGGAAAATCCGTCTTTTTGACATATGTTTTTTTTGCTGGCACGAAGATTAAAGATTGTGGACAATTTTTTTTTTTTTTAATAAAAAAAAAAATTATTTGATTTGTCTTCATATGTACAGGACCATACTTTTAAAATAATAAAAAAGTAATCAATATTTTTCGATTTGTGCTGCTGTACAATCTCCTCAAAGATGAAGAAGATTCTTGCAGCAACACAAATGTCATTCTACAGAAAGATGCTGAGAACATGTGAGCAACGATGACGTTTTGGAGAAAATGGAAACAAAAAGGAAATTTATACTTAACATTAGGAAACACTAGTTGAAATTTTGGTGGCATGTAATGAGGAAGGAGGGCTTGGAAAATCTGATACTCCTGGGATATATTCAGGGAAAGAGGGACAGAAGAAAGCAGTGTATAACATACTTGATGAGCTTGAGTAGATGGATGGTAGAACAGGGTTTGGGAGAAATAACTAAAAGAGAAAACATTAAGAGCTACAAGGGAAAGGAAGATGTGAAGGGCCATAATCGGCTATATGCTGAAGAGACATGGGGCATAAAAGAAGATCCACGGAAAGTCTAAGAAATACTGATCTATGAAGATTTTTTTCACATAATTTTTTTTTAATTTTTTCACAAGTGGACCAGTTTATCTTAGTAGTGCTGAAGTACTTATTATTTTGAAGACAAACTCATTCTTTTTTTCTTTCTTTTTTTTTTCCAACCTTCCAGCTGATAAACCTGCTACCTCTGTATGTGAATGATTCCCTCTCCATGTTTTTGTGCCAAAAACCAAGCTTGAACAATTTCTTGAAAGCTCCTCAAACTACTTGGATAACTACTAATGGAACAAAGACATTTCAAGAGATTCTGTGCCAAAATTCCATGAACTGGAGCCAAATTGACCAGCTTTCAACCATTACCAACTTGCAGCAAATGGTAAGTAAGAAAAAAAAAGTAACTGAAATATATCACTTATATAGGTATATATATTTTTTATTTTTTAACATACAATGTGTGTTAGCACGTGTGATACCGTGTATTCATCAGCCGCCGACCAGGGGTGATATCATGGTTTCTGTGGCTACGGCGAGACCACCACCCCTGGCACCACCAGGCAGGGTATGAAGATAAGCTAACTAATTGTTCCTTTAAGTAAAATCTATCTGCAATGAAAGTTTCTTGAACGCGTTTGCCGTTATCACTTATATAGGTATATATATATTATTTATATAGGTACCGCCACGAAATCACTATAATATCAGCATCATTTATGTCCCATGCGTGATACACGCTTAGGTGATCATGTATCTTCAATACATGACTGATGAGGCAGATTTTTTCCTGCAGTAGGTTGCCATTATTTTCTGTGGAAGACCAGTTGCCAACCAAGGCAATAGAACCCAGTCTCTCCTGCTATTTACCCATAGCAGGGGAGAGAAGAAGAGGATTAATACCCTTCCCAAGGGTATTAGCACGTAAGTAAATGTAATGGATTCAACTGGAATTCGAACTCGGCTCTCCGATCCTCAATCCGTGCCATAAACCGTGATGGAAACATGCTCCAAACTTAATGAAAACAGTTTCATAGACAATGTAGAATAACAATAATAAACAGCACTTACCGGCATAAAGGTCCCAGCTAGCATCCAGCTGGCAGACAAAAATAAAGCAGGTTGTAACTTAATACAAACCCTGCAAACTAACTGATGAATCAAGCTGGTATTTATATAGAAATACCTCCACTCAGGTACCAGCAGCCAATCACAGCCCAAGCAATGGACTATCCCACTTTAGCACAATGAGATGCTCCATGGCACCATAAATAGCTCTCTTTCTAAACGTTGGATTATTATTCACTTAGCTTGCTCTACAACTGAGTGTTTATCTCTACCACGTGATTTTTCTACAGTGACAAATATAACTTTCAAATCAATTCGGGTAGAGCGTAGTTTATTCTAACCATTAATGTTAATTGTCTTACGTCTTCAAGGTAAAGATAAAATTATCTCTCCATTCTTGGACTTAGCCATGCCTAAGCAAAACACAAACATGATCACGTTCTCTGCAATTACAGAATCAGTTTTCATAACTTCCGCAGTCGAAACGGGTTTTCTCCTTGTATTCATTTCCTAATTCGCTTTCATCAGCGAAAATTATATTTGTTTGCCTAAATTTCCAAGGAAGAGATAAAATGTTCTCCAAATCTCTTTTCGTCAGCATGCCAAACTCTCGATAAATAATAAACTTTAGGAGAAAAAGAAATCAGCAGGTCCCCATTTACAACAAGGAATCTCTCATATAATATATATATATATATATATATATATATATATATATATTTCGTTGTTTGCTTAAACCTTTTCTGCACAGAATACTCATTTGCCCACCTCATGGCCTCTGTGTCACATTAAAGTCATCTTGGTTAAATGGATGTAAGGGTGTGAGCCTATGCAGAAAAAAAAAAAAAATTCTACTTTGATCTTTTATGGGTTGTCCGCAAAACTTTTTACAAATTGATTGGCTCTTTTGGTTGACTTTTGATTTTTTGGGCTATCCACAATTACTACATGTTTGTCCCCCATGCTGGGCATTTTTGCCGGCGGGATCCAGTTCCTGAGGTGCCATGCTGGTGGCTGCCACAACCTAAAGCAAGCCTAGTGGTTTGGTTTAACATTGCAGTTGCAATAGGTGCTGGTACGGATCCCTCGTTGGCTTGTGGCATACCCTTCTGTCTGCGGTATGTTGATAGCCGAGCAGCAGCTGTATCTGAAAGCGCCAGCTATTGAGGTTTGGTCCTGCAATGCTGATTCAAATGCCTCAGCATGACGGATATTTTGCTCAAATGGATTTAAGTGCCCCAGCTTTGGAAAGTAGGTCAGCCTGGAGTGTGTCATTTGCTATTCCACAGATGATCTGGTCCTTAATGTATATCTCAGACAGGTCATGCTCACAACAAAAGGTAAAGTTACAATCAACAGCTACGGCTCTGAGGCGGACAAGGTAAAAATTGTATTGGCTCATCCGCATCCTGAGACATGGAGGAAAAAAAGGCAAAAATTTATACCTGACCAACGCTTCTACCATGTCAAGTAGCTTATCTGGATCAGTGGTAAAGAAGTCAGGGTGTGTGTTGGATGCTGTTGATGGATATCATTCCATCCCCTTAGATAAAGAGTCCTATATTGGCTTCACCACCTTCATCACAGAATGGGGAAGGTTCATGTACCTGAAAAAATGCCACAAATTTACCTAGCATCTGGCGATGCCTACAAAACAAGGTATGATGAAGATAATAAAGACATCCCCCTGAAGTAAAAATCGTAGATGACACACTACTCTCTGACTTTTTTTCCTCTTCCATTAATTAATGTCCATTGATACTCAATAGAAAAGTTCCAACTTTGCCAAGACACTGTGCAGTTTGGGGCCTCCAATAACATCCTCTGTTGTAACCCCTTCTAAATCCATGCTGGAGGCGATATTAAGCGTCCCAATACCAAAAAACTCACCGATGCCAGATCATGGTTTGGTCTGGTCAACCAAATCCTTGGGCATACTCACTGAGCCCAGTCATGCTTCCATTTTGTGATCTCGTAAACAAGACTCACACTTTATATGGAATAAAAGCCTTATGGATGCATTCCAGCATTCAAAAAGGTCATAGTTGACTTAGTTCGAAAAAGGCATTGCAACATTTGAAAAGAACGAATAACCTGTCTATTTTTTATTTTTGGAGCAAAGACGGAATGGGCTTCCTACTTCTAAAAATTTTATTGCTCATGCACCACCGACAAATTCCCAGTTTTGCTGCCCTGAAGGTTGGCGCCTGATATTTGCTTGTAGCAGATTCTGCATTTATGCTGAGCACAGATATGCACCTATTGAAGGCGAATTTGTTTTTTCCGTGGGCATTGGAAATTTGTAATGGGTTGCCCGAATCTCATTTTTGGTTACAGATCATGAACCATTAAAAATGATTATTCGGAGATAGAGACCTTAGTAAAATCCAAAACCCCCCGATTATTCAGGTTAAAATAAAAATAGGTACATTTTCGCCATTCAGCACTGCCCTGGAAAATGGCACAGAGCCTCCGATTTTTGTCTCTTTAAAACCCAGCAGACATCTCACAACACACTCCTAAATGTATTCAAAATAAAACCCTCTCAATCAGACATCATAGAGTCTGACAATTTGGATGTCTATTTTTATCAACAACCCTATGTTCAACATTCGGTGCAAATGACAACCTGGAACTCATCTCACCACAAACATTATCCGTTAGAGTGGATGCAGCGACCCATGGTACAAAAAAACAAATTGACATGTCTAAAAAATGGATTCCAAAGACACGCAGCAGCCTCACTGCACCGTTTTTTTAATGACAACTTACTGAATTGATTTTTATTTGCCTAAGTGTTGACATTTAGTGCTCTTAGATCAAAACACATCGTTATCCCCATCTCTCAAATATGCAAAAAAAAGTAAAATAGCCTAAATTCTGCATACCAAATTTTTAATTGGCATGAAGGCAAAATATTAATGAATCTGTTTATTGGCCCGGGATGAATTCTGTCTTTTAAATAACATTAAAAGGTTATATGCGTTCTGCTCAAAAAATACCCCCAGAAAACCAAAAGAGTCAATCAATTTGACACCATCTCCTGATTGGCCATTTCAATAAATCGTCATGGACATCTTCCATGTTGGGAACCATGGTTACTTAGCATGCGCTGACAGGTTAACAGGCTGGCTAAATCTATACCACCTGAGCCAATTGGAAGCTAATGCCTCAAGGATTATTTCAATTTGCTGAGACATATTTCAAGCCTATGGTGCTCCCGAGGAACTCAGCACTGATGGTGGGCCACCCTTCAAATCCCTTACATTCAAAAAATTTTTACAAGACTTGGCTGTTAAACACAGGTTATCATCTGCTATTTACCCACAATCCAATAGTCGAGCAGGGCTTTTTTTCAAAAAAAATCAAAAAGAATTTGAAATGGCAACACAGGAATTTAAGGATCGTTGGACAAATAAGCGTGCAGCAAGAGCCATCCTCAATACAGGAATAATGTAACTTTTTTCCATTGGGCTATCCCCTGCTCAACTACTACCCACCGCCGACTACGTGACTACATACCATCCCACCCCACATCTATAAGCCACAATTGAATTGGATAAATCGCGGCCCAAAATCGTGAAATAAGTCTGTCCCGGTATTTTTTGATTTCGTCTCATAGAGCGATACAACAAAACAGCACACACCTTAAACCCCTTCAAAAAGGACAAATAGTGGCACTACAAACCAACAACCCGCCGATGGGACACAACAGGTCAGGTCATTGAAACCCTCCCCAACCACCAATACCGTATCAGAGTTGATGGATCAGGTAGAATTACCTTAATAAATCGCATGATTCCTCAGGAAACTGGATACACCTACAATTCCAGTTCCCAGACCTAGTGCCTTACCTGAGACCCCTACACCAGTGCCACAAACATTCGACGCTGGAATAACATCGAACACTGCTCAGTCGTCTACAATAACACGGACAAAAACCCCTCGGGCATTGTCCAGACTACTTCCGCACAACCAGCCAGGTTTAAAGGAACTCATCCCTCCCCAAAGGCCACTACCCACACGCGATGGGGGGAAAATTAGATGTAGAATAACAATAATAAACAAGCACTTATTTGTAAAAGTCCCAACTAGCGTCCAGCTGGCAGACAAAAATAAAGCAGGTTGTAACTTAATACAAACCCTGCAAACTAACTGATGAATCAAGCTGGTATTTATATAGAAATACCTCCACTCAGGTACCAGCAGCCAATCATAGCCCAAGCAATGGACTATCCCACTTTAGCACAATGAGATGCTCAATTGCACCATAAATAGCTTTCTTTCTAAACGTTGGATTATTATTCACTTAGCTTG